TTTGTCCCGAGCAGGATTGCATCAGTGTTAATGTAAGCGTTGCTGAGGCTGAGCTGTCTATTGCATGGCACGGTTGGGGGAGACGGATGATTAGCATGCCTTTCCCTTGCCAATGGCCAAGGGTGTCTGACATCGCTAATGATAATGAAAAAGGAGAAACCTAAAGGAAAAAGACTGCAGCCTGCTGGTGGTAAAAGTAATTAGGTTTCTCCATCTTCTGAGCAATAGTGAGGCTTGCTAGGGTCAGGACGTGTCCATGCTAGTGTGTTAGTTCAGATCTGGACCGGCCTTTTGAAGTGAATCCCCCACTGTGCTTTGGTTCACATCTCAGGGCAGCCCAGGACCTCACGAGCTGGGTCGTTGTGGCTCTGGAGATGCCCCTAAGCTCTCTGAGGACAGGGCCACTGCTGCCCTGTCTGCGCTTGCCCACACTCTGCTCTCGGCCGTGGGACCCTTCTCCCTGCACAGAGCACATTGCCAGGTCAGGAGTGGGCACTGACCTTCCTGTGTGACATGGGGGTAAGGCTTTTTGGTTGCTGAGTTATTCAGATGCTTCAGAAAGTGCTTGTGCACAAAGTCTCTCCTAAAAACTGTGTTCCCCTAGTTTTAATACTGAGTAGGCCCACCGCATCCAGGAGCTGGGGGAGATCCCACCACCCCTAGGCACAGAGCAGGGTACAGTCGCATCACTAGTGTCAGTCTCAGTCTTGGCAGGTGGTTTTATCCCAGTAGGGTGAGGTGAGGCTTCAGCATCACATCTTTTATTATGATCAGAGTGCCTATAGGTGCTGTAATTATTATCAGAATTAAATCATAAATCAATATAAAACGACACTTATGCAGTGTTACATTCAATGGGCAGCACCTCAACAGAGGTGAATTTTGTGGCTTCTTTAATTGCAAGAGGGCGCAGCATCTTGAATTATCTGCATATCTGCTTGGGTGTTCTTTGATTTACGAGAAATTACAAGTGGTAATGCTGTGGCATAGTTTTCCATGTGTAACACTTTTTTATCTTTCCTTTGGCTTGTTTTTCTTTTCTATGTCTCTTCCCTCTCCCCGCATTTCATTTCCATCCAGAAATACAAATGACCTCTTGATGGAACTTTCCACTTTCATTCTGTTGATTTGCATTGTGCAGTCAGGAAAATACAAACACTTTTATTTCTGAGATCTATTTATGATGTCATGAAAAAACTTTCTCATATTAGCCTCTTCTTTTTTCTCTTTCTTTATCATTTCAGGTGTGTGTGCAACATTGACTGTTCTCAAACCAACTTCAATCCTCTTTGTGCTTCCGATGGGAAATCTTATGATAATGCATGTCAAATCAAAGAGGCATCATGCCAGAAACAGGAGAAAATTGAAGTCATGTCTTTGGGTCGATGTCAAGGTAACTCTCATAACAAAACTCATTTCAAAGAATGTTTTCAATTTTTGTTCCAGAAAAAAAAAAAGAACCAGGGCTGGCTTCTCATTTGACACTTCTTACTTTTCCATTAGACTCTTGCAATTTATATTGTAGAGCACAGGCTGGGGGAGAGGGCAGAGCCTGCCGTGGTACAGATGCCAAGCGAGGCGCAAGAAGTGGTGTGCATAACCCTTCCTACAACCCTGCCCGCTGCAGCCAGGGACTGTCCAGCCCTGCACTGGTGTCAAAATCAGGCACCTGGATTTTGTCCAGAGCAGCTTGCCTAGAGCTCTGCCCACCGGGTAGGAGTCAGAGCAGGACAGCAGGAGAGCCCCTCAGATACATTTTGCCACCCAGGATGGATGCTCTGTTGCTCCCTTAACTGGAGCAGCACGAAGCAATCTCAGGAGGCCAGAGACGTGCTCCCAGACATGGTGCTGGTCCTTGTTTCTCATCTGACCTGCACTGGGCCCAGGAGGTGCCAAAAGTGCGTAGAAGGAAGTTTTGCAAATAGCAGCTCAAGACTCTCTGTGTTTCTCCATGAATGCCATGCTTCTCCATGCCCAGCTCATGGGCCACTACATCACCTGTAACCCTTGAGTTGACTTTAAAATCTCAATTTTGTTCTAAATAAAAATGAGGAAAATTTGCCTTTAAGTAGTTCCCGTAAATAAACTGTCTACTGAGGCTCAGACTCTTAATAGCTTTTTTCCCCATAGCTTCTGACCTATAAATCCTCAGTACATCTGAGGCCATAGTATACAGGTGTATTAAACACATTCTAGTTTATTTCTCTCTCTTTAAAATTAACCACCTTATGTGGCAGTTCATTTCAGGGTACATATTAAAACTCCCCAATTACTTCAAATAGAGCAGAAATGACAACTCCTGCTTCATACTGCTATATTTATCCCAGCTGCAATCTGTTATCACATATTGTTAGGAAAAAAAAGTGTTTTCTTAATGGAAGATGTTTCATGTTTCATTCCAAAAAGCCAGATCCTGCTGTTTTCACCTGGCAGGCCCAGGGGAGCCTTGCAGCCAGCAGCGATGCTGTGCATGCAAGTGAAGCTATGTTTGCCTGGGCACGGGCTGCTGGGGCATAGTCTGTATCAAGTACAGGCTCCCCAAGCAACTCAACATATTTCTTTTCATGCAGATAATACTACAACAACTACAAAATCTGAAGATGGGCATTACGCAAGAACAGATTATGCAGGTACGGTTCCTATTCTGTGAGAATCACAATTCGCAGGAACTGTGTAAGTCTCTTTTCTCCTCCGTTTGCTAAGGTGAGGTGTCCTTATCTTCTAGCATGGTTTTCTTGGTTTACTTTAAGAAAACACTGTCTTCGCGTTACTCTTTCTTTTGCTAGAATCTCTCTTTCTTCTTAATAAATCATCTTCTTTCATTTTTGTCAAGGTACAGATATTCTGGCTATAAAACACCTGTTCTGACAGTGGAAATAAGTATTGTAAACTATTTGCCAGAATTAGCAGACATCATTGAAAATTATTGAATAAGTGCACTGAATTATGCATATTTTTGTCACGATATACAGGTTTAAGAACGTGAAAATCCTGAGCATAGCACAACTGTGATACCATGAAATGTTGCCATAATAGATAATATTACCTGTCGATGTTTAACTATGAAGTTAATAAGGTTCTTAAAATGGTTTTTTAAGTGATAAATGGTTTTAATTTATTTAGAACCTGCAATAAAATATAATGGCTGAATAGCCTTATATGGCATTTGAAATTAAAAACATGTAAATACTAGCAAGGTTTGGGAGACATTTTTTATACCCTTTGCCTGGGAAGATTGATTTAGAAATTGAATGTGTGGGTGCACACGCACATGTATGCAAATATTCACAGCTCTCACTGAAAACTCAAGCCTTTGAGAAGGTATTGTGTAAATGGGTCAGGTGATACATTCATTGCTTAAGTTTGTGATATTTTTGTGGTTTGAAAGTATTTAGAGAGAGTAGGGTGCAGATCGCTGTGGTTACCTGAGCAGCTTACTGCCTGGCTTAGGTGAAATCTAGCTCATGGTTTCACAGGTCGTAACTTTTCTTACCGGGAGAGTCCTTTGACATTAGTTAATTTGGCTGGTCATCTCTTGTGAGGGTGCTTTGTGCATGACGTCCCTGCATTAATAGGGTACCCAGCCATTAGAAATGATTGTTCTGTTTCTACTTAAAAATGGTGAGTGATGATTAAAGCACAGAGCTATGAATAAATGATGTCTCAGTGAGGCAGAGGAGTGCTAGGTGTTGAGGGTGGCTGCAGCACGAAGCAGTGAGGGTAGAAATTTCTACAGAAAGTAAATGCTGGGATTAATTTCCAAAAGATCAAAGATGAGCCATGGTCCAGATATTTCCTACTGCCAAGGAGCCCTTCCATGGGTGAAGAGAGAGTCATGCAAAGAGAGAAAAGTCTTCAGTCTCTTTCCCCCAAACCCTTGATTACTCTCAGCTTTTTTCAGTCAGTTTTCTTAAAAGGCTGGAAGGGCTGAGGTTGTATCCTGTGGTCAGCAGGAGATATGGCCAAGTAGGCCAAAATGATTTATTTTAAGCTGGAAATAAGGGCAAGTAATACTGTTGTGTTAAATTCTTTATCTTCCTTGCTGGAGAACTGAGGAGAGCACTGGCATCCCCAAGTCAAAATGAAGGCCTGCAGCCCCTTTTTAAATGTTGTGCAACCTGTCCTACTGCCTGGTGGTTTAGCTTCAGGATGGCAGTGACCCACATCACCGAGAGAGGAGACAACACATTTAAGCATGAGGCAACTCAGTGGTAACAAGAAGGGAAGAAAGACAGGTTGAGGATTAGAGAGGAGGAGGAGATCGTAGTGATGACAAGAGAAAGCCAAGTCATGGGTCAGAGAGGAAGAGGCGCACAGAAGGCACCTTCAGCTCAAGTGGGCAGGAGGAAGAGAACAGCTCTTGCTTGGGAGAGAGATGATATTTCAGCCCACGCTTGAGAAGAAGGATGGTGGGTAGAAGGAAATTGATGGCAGCAAAACGTTGGCAGGGGTTGGGAGTAGAGCAGGGAACACAGGAGGAAACTGGGCAGAAAAAGAAAGACGGCAGAGCTACGGCGAAGAGGAGAGGGTCTGTATTAGAGGTGGTCTCCAAGTGCTGAGAGGTCAGAAAGAGTGGGAGAACAGATGATCCAGTGAGAGGTGACAGGGGCCTATGGAGAGGAGACAGGGCATCTCACTCCCCTAGAGCCGTGGGAGGGATGGAGACATCGTGAATCAGCAGTGAGGTCCAGTAGGTACCTCTTTGGCACAGAAAGGCACCATGATTGCGCCTTAGCAAGCAGCTCCTCGAGGCTTCTGGTATGGCTCAGGCCTCAGTGGGCTTCTTGAGGGCAACAGCTGTGTCCCCTGGGACACATCAACACACCCCCCACCCCTGTCTCATCAAGTACCATCCATTGATTTCACCTGAACCACAGTCACTTGCACCAGCTGATGTCTTCTTTTTGTGCACCTAACTATTATTCTTGCTTAAATTTTTCATTTTTACATATGGTAACAACATGTACGGTGAAAGTTGCAAGTTCGTGCAGGGCAGTCCTCTTGTCTCCAGTGTCCCCAAATATCTGTGGCATAACCCTGCCAGGAGACCCTAGGGGAAAGGCACCACCATATCAAAAAGCTGTAACAACCCCAGCCTTTCAGAAATAGTTGGTGAAAAGGAAGACAGCAATATAAAACTGAGGTTCAGGAACATTCAGGCTTCAGCATTAGCCTGGCAGAAAGCTCCATGCCATCCTCATGTTCTTTCAAGTGCAGAAATATTTGATGATAGCTATTATAGGAATGTGGTATGTGCTACTTTTTTCCCACCTTCATATCTCCTCAGAAGGGAAATGCTGCCCTAACCATGGGGAGCTTTGTGTGAAAAAGCAGCAGTTCCTCAGCCGTTGTGCCTCTGAAGCAATTTCCCTGAGACTGCACCTTTCCAGAGAATACCTTTGTACTGTGCCTACCATTTAATGGCACTAAAAATCACCGAGACCATGAGCACTACATGCTTTTAAAAACACTGACTCGTATGGACTGACTTTCCCAGGGGAGAAAATAGCAGTGGGCATAACTGATGTTGTCAATTATGCTAATGCAGCAGTGCCAAATGCTCTTTGTAGAGATTGTGGTAGCTAAGTGGTGCGGGTTTTTCCATAAACACCCCCGCATGCTCCATGTGGGGTCCCAGGAAGGCAGCAGCTTTGTGAACAACCACAAGTCCCAACACCCAGCTGATTTTTTTCATATTGAACTATTCAAACCGTCCGTTCAATCAGTGTCTTTGCTCCCTCCTGTTCTTTCAAGCCCGTTGATCCTTGCAAATAATGCACAAATCTCTCAGTTTGCAAAACCAAGAGTACTCGTTCCTTTCAAGCATAAACCTTTGCATTAAGTTTACATCGCCTTGGTTTTTTAAGGGCTCTTTACACAGGCAAGATTTACTTTAGTATTGGAAATGCCTGACTAATGTCAGAGACACCCAAAAAGCAGTGTCCCCTTTTTCAGCAAAGCAAACATGGGGAGAGCGAGCCATAGGTGGCCCTTCTCTGACAGTGTCCACCTCTCCAGGTTTACCAGTCTACTCTTGCCATGGCTGCATATGCAATACATGTCAGCACAGCATCTGTGCGTGTGTGTGTTTCTGTCTCTCTTTGTGTCTCTCTGGCCTCTCATTTTTCTGAAACCCGAAAGTATTTATCGGACTTGGGGGGGCTTTCACTCTTTTCAACAAATGGTGGATTGTTGACGTTGATCAAGTTTGTGAAATAAGATTTGGTTTTAGTCAATAAAGGAATGGGTGGGATTTTTCCCTCAAATCCAATAGAAATACACTTTATCTTGCAATTTCCATGAAAGAGCATTTTTAAACATTTTAAGTGTAATGTGTGTTTTGGAATGTAGTGTCTAAGCTGAAAGTCCTGTGATTGATGTTTTCTTGAATTTCTCCATTATATGCGTAAAGAAGTTGGCTGTTTCAGTGGCATTTTTGCATTCAGAGTCTAGGCAATCAAGGAGTTTTCATCTTGTTTATTCATTTGCCTATTTATTTTTATTCTTCAATATTTATATTCCCTTCTTAAGATCTGGATATTAGCAATTATCCCCCTAACTGATTTTATCCTTTCTCATTATCAAATTACAGAGATTTTTTTCAAGCCATTTTGAGCACTATAAAGAATAAGTCAGTATGGATGAGCCATATTTCAATGTTATATATTCATGAAAATTGTCAGCGAAGACACTGACAAATCTGATAGACCTATTCAACAATATCATCTTCCAGGCCAGACAAACCTCCCTATATGAGCATTGATTAGATCAAGTCTCAGCAGCCGAACACCAGCAGCACAGCAAAGCTGATAGAAAGGGGAAGAAGGCATTTTCAGCCCCAATAGTCTCCTTTGGTGAAAAATGCACATCCGCAAATGGTGAGTTTGAGCTGTATTTCTGGGTTCCTTGACGGCAGTAAGCCCTCCCTTGGCAGCAGCCTCAGGTGGTGCCTTCTGCGGTCTTGGTTAGTCAGGGGACTCTCTTGCAGACAGTGCCGTGGCCCCTCTTGCTGATGCTGTTGTTGTGCCAGGGAAACGCTAACAAGCACAAAATGCTGCACGTCTGCTCATGGCTGCTCTGTTCCCTGCTCTCCCCCCCGGTTTCCCATGGGATTTCAAATCTATGCGACAGTCTTGGATCTTTTTCAGACCGCTTTCTGGCACTGGGGCCTTCCTGGCACTACTGGAGGTGCTCGGGCAAGTAATCTGGCAGATGGCTGTGTTGCCCAAGCAAACTGAATGCTCCACCAAAAAGGGCAAAATCCATCTGTGTCAACACATCATCTTCCCTTGGCTGGGCTGGGGCTGTGGGATGAAGGCCAGGGGAGCCACCACAGATTCCCCACTCCAAGGATAAAGAAGAGTCTTGGACTCTTCAAAGAGTCTCTTCAAAAGTCTAAGAGTCTTGGACTCCAAAATAAATGCAACATAATATTTATGTTTGAGAAAAGAAAACTATCCTAAAACTTTACCAAAACCCACCACTCTGCATCATTAACTTCTAATCCCTTTGAATGGGAGAACAAGCCGTGCCTATCAAAGAAAATGTGGAGAACTGGCAGCAGTGCGCTGACCCAGCACATGTGAGAGGCACTGGGGTGTGATGCATCCCTTTCCTCACAGGCTTGATA